AAAAGTAAAAAAAATTTCAAACGAAAACGAAACGAAACGAAAATCATGAAAAATCCACGAAAATAACGAAAAACGAAACGAAACGAAAATTTTCGTGCAGCTCTGCTCCTGATGTCAAGCTCGAATTCATCGAATAATCTTTTCAACAAAATTTCAACTTCTGGACCGAATAATTACAACTAACTTTTCAAAACTCGAATTGGTCCGACTAAAATTGACTAAGGTTTGCTAGGCCTTGTCGAATAGATGAATTCGATCGGCTTGAATGCCTGCCACACTTCAACTGACGCCGTCTCCTCTGAATAAGAATCTGATGTGCTCTGCGAATCTCCGAATACTCCGAATACTTCCCCAGAATTTGAATAATCCGAATAATGTCCGAATTGTGAATCAATGATTCACGACTGCGACCGCGCCACTGTTATGTCCTAGGTAGCGGTCTTACCTAGTAGCGGTCTTACCAGACTAACACAAGAATAGAATATGACGTTTATCCGAATGGTAAATACAACAATAGTGAAGGTGGCAAAAGGCAAGAATGAATAAGGACAGACGGCGCCGGTCGACCCAGACTGATCGCTAACGACTCCTTTTATACTAGACCCACACATACCTAACAGGAAGTTTGGTGTTTGACTTTAATATTAAAAAAATTTGTGAAAATACTTTAACATTTCCTTAATGTTTAATAAAATTGCATAATTTGATGAAAGACTTTTAAAATAGGTAATTTTTATTTCACGTATTATTACAATAATTATTTCATCATATTATTTAATACATTTAGAGATTCCGACTCTTTGGAATCTTTAATATCAACACACATTTTCAAATTTTGTTGGACCTAACAGCGAAAATGGAAAATACAATCCATTCTTTCAGCGCCACAATTCCTGTTAATTTAATTTATGATCGTCAGCCAAAGATCTGGAAAAATTTAATGCTGAGTAAGGCCAATTCGTTGAAGTTTCAACATTAATGACTTTGTTAATTTCTATTAATTCTAACAGAAAAACTTTAAGTCAATTTTTAAGTTTTTAATTTTAAATAAAAAATATTTTTTAAAATCAATTTTAAATTTCAATATTCGGTCTTATACATTACATTGATTGACAATGAAATATATTCTAGACAATAAAAAAATTCGATAAAAAAATTATTTTTTAATTTATTCACTGACTGGCTATCACATCCATGACTGCCAAATCGATTTAGCTTCTCACTTCCCCCCCCCCCCTTCACCTCCCCCATCTCCCTCCCCCCTTCACTTCTCCATCTCCCCCATCCCTAATAGGGAATTTAATTTTTTAATTTAATTTTATTTATTATTAAATTAAAAATGCGTTTAAACATTAAATTTGTTTTTATTATTTTTTTATTTATTTTAACTTTAATTATATTCCTTCTAAATTTTTGTTATTATTATAACAATAATTTAGGAAAGGATTTAAAAATTAATTATGACACATTTATAAGGTAATTTTTTAAAAATATTTTTTTAATTCAAAAAAATGTTATTATTATTTTACAAGACCATTAATTGTTGATTTTAATTGTTTGGAAAATCAAAATAATGGCAAAAACTGTACATATCCAGTGTCCGTAGCAATACCTGATGGATATCCACAAATATCAAACGAATTTATTGAAATTAAATTTATTTTGGATATTTCTGAAAATAGGGATTTTTGGCTTTTCAAAAACGTTAACAATTCAACAGATTTAATTGCAACTAGAGGGTAATTATTTAAATTATATTTTTGGTGAAAAATTAATTTTTGGCAAACGCTTAAATATTTAAATTTTATTAACAACATATTTAAAAAAATAAAATAAATTATTACGAGATAGAATTTCAAATTAAAAAGTTTTTTCTTTCCAGAAAAGACCTTGGTCCCTCGATATCACTGTTATTCCACTAAATTTAATACTCCTAATCCTATACTCTGATGGGACGCATACTCTATTACTTACCCTCCCTCAAATAATTACCCCCTCCAGCGAAAGGTTGAAACAATAATAACCCCCTTAAAAACAGTGATAATTAGCCTTCCTAAAATAACCTCTATTAATTACCTACCTCTATCAATTACCCTCCCCAGAGAGAGATCGAAACATTAATTACCTAGAGTAATTAATAGACTATTCGGTATACTATTTTTGGGACGCATAAACATGGGACGAATGTAGAGCCATTATTTTTACTTAGCATACATTTATAAAATTTACATATGTAACTAACTTTTTAAGGTTTAATCGTTCCCAATCAAATATAAAAAATGTTGAAATGCCTGCTGATTGGAAAGCTTTTAAAAGAGATTGGAAAAACGGAAAGTATTTAGAATGTACCCCCTTACTTGAAAGACCCAAATATACACGTAGAGCAATACCTATAAAATTCTTGGACAGACTTGTTGAATTCTCTAATTTATTAGAAAAACATAATGCAACAGCTTTTCTTATGGGTGGAACTTTACTTGGTAATTTAATTTTTTAAAATCATCTACTTGACTTAATAAAAATTTGCTTTTTAATTAACACCCAAAATTTTCTTTGTTTTTATAAAAAACATTTATAAAATACACAACGGTTAACTTTTTACCATCCTCCATTACCTGTAAAATATTAATACGTATTTTTCATTAAATTAAAGGTTGGGCAAGAGAATGTTCATTAATTTCACACACTACAGACACAGATGTTGGTATATTCAGTGATGATCACTCTGAGTTAATATTTTTTAATTTTTGAAAATTTTTCTTTCGAGAAAATAGTGTCAGTTAGATAGTGAATTGTTTAGTTGATTATGTTATACTTTATTTTAATTATTAGATGAAGCTTTTCCTTTTATGACTACTGTTAGGAATTTAACTAATTATGAAAATTTTATGTAGCTTAGCAAATTTTATGTATTCAAAGGTTTATCCCAATTTATTGAACATGTTTTTCATAAAATAATATTTATGTACAATTTTAAAATAACTATATATTTCCAGTTCTCTTCTACGTGAAATACTCACCTCAAAAATCTTCGAAATTCATTGGGTTCTAGGTCGATTAAAGAATTCCTTTGAATTAAGTGTTTATGTGGATGGAAACAAAATTGATCTTTTTTACTTATATAAAACAACAAATTCAACAGAAAATGCATCAATTGGTGGAATGCGTCATTTGATAAAACAACGTCTTCGATGGAATTATCCAAAATTGTCTGGAGAAATCTGTGCCGCAGAAATGCATGGAAGACTTTTTCATGTTTTGTGTGATTATTATAAAATTGTTGAGGTACCAAATTCACACATCTAACCACCTGTACCTGATGGGTTCATAGGATCCACCGCCATAACCTAATAAAATTCCCGAAAATCGGGAATTTACAACGTTTTTTTGGTCGGGAATTCCCGATTCGCGAAATCGGGAAATTTATTTTGTCGGGAAAATAAGTGCCATTTTATAATTAAACTACATACATATGTATATTTGAATTAACGTATATGCTGGAATACTCTTAATTACCCCCTCTAGTGAAAGGTCGAAACAATAATTGCCCAGGGTAATTATTTGAGAATATACGGTATTCATTTAATTAACTTAGTTCATGCTTTATTCTATTAGAGGAACAAAACATAAAAATATAAAACCTAAAACATATGCATGTAATCATTTCTTTCCCCCGTTATATGTGGGGAGGGAGATAAATATTTATCTAAAACTCATTCAACTGTTATGTTTCTACAATAATATTTTTATTTATTTTTTATTTTTAAAGTCTGATTATGGAAAAGAAGAATGGAAAAAGGATCACCATACAAGCAACTTTGCTTGGGATAAAAGTAACAAAAACAAAGAATCTATGGAAATATATACAGAAGCAGAATGGCCAAATGTTTACCTTTATGTTGGAAATAAAAATGATCGTTTTAACTCTAAAAAAGTTGATGAATGGATTAAAAATATTAACAAGACTTTATGAAAAACACCCAAAAATTATTTTATTTTTCACTTTGAATTTTATTTAAATTCCATTGAATTTCATGTATATTATTTTTAAATTGATATGTAGTATGTACATACATTATTTTAAATTGGCACTTTTTTATAAAGAGGATTTGATAAGTGTATGTTAAAGCACACTTTATAACGTTTTTAAAAATTAAACAATTTATTTACATAGGCCCCCGGGAAAAAGTTTGCCGATTCGGAGGAAGCCGGGCATGTCGAACGGAACGACGGCCACCCCTTCGCTACGGTCGCCGCGAACGAAGCACGGCCATCGTGTATCGAAGACTACCTGTAGCGAAGACCCTTCGGCATACATACCCTCCGTAGCAGCACAAAAAGTTTTTCCATCGAAGATTCATAATTTTGTTCAGAATCGACGAATCATGCTGATTTTAGTGTCAACCTACTCACATCAGCTTGACGAGCTCTTTCGGTTGAATAAAAATTGTTTAATTTTAAAAACGTTATCTAACATTGTCTACTCACTGAGCAATCAAGACTGGCATTCTCGTTAGTTTCTCGCTAACAAATACATAAGTCTTAAAATCTTTACTTCTTTAAGGAAATACTTTTGGCCGGCGAGTGTATGTGGTAGTATGTACAAGCTCTAACACAATTTACATCCCATCAACAAATCTTACTTATATCTCTCCACTATATATAAGTAAAAGGGAAAGAGAAGCACTGGCGATCCTGCTCGGCGCCGTTTCCCGCCTGGGCCAGTGCGCCTCGACGTGTTCGCTGCTGCGTTGCTCTGTGTCTGCTGTGTGCTTTCTCCCATTCACCATCTCTGTGTTTGTACCAACTTTTCAATTTTCAATGTTAAATGTCTGTCATACTCCCAATCCAATTTCAATGTCTAAACTCTCGCCTCAGCAAAACAATAAAGCAAAACAGCCATTATATTTCGTACACCCACTTCTCTCCTTCACAAACAACTCTATATGCCTTGACTCTCTCCACCCAATTTAACTATGTATGTTCTTCTCTCAACCATGTGCGAATATGATTTGCGTATCGCCGCAGTCAGGGCACACTGGAAGTGGCTTAAGGCTTGGCCTCAGTATGCCAGGGTTCGGGACATCTCCCAAGAACATCGGCCTGGACATGGCCTTCCATGGCGGTTGCATACGGTTCGGAAGTCGGTGCAGTGATCGCCCAATTTTTTTCTCGAATGAAAAAACAAAAATAAGATACAACGTGGTGAACTGAGGGAGTTTAAGACATTCGGACAGTAGAGGGAGGGAGGTTGGGCGATAAGCGGACAATTTAATTAACGAAAAAAATTCACAAAAAATTTTTGATTAACTCTCGTACGATTAATTTTTTTATTTAACAAAATCTGGAAATATTAACATTAAAAGACAATTTTAATAAAATAATTAATTCACATTATCTAATCTCTAATTTAAAAACCTCAATTTAAAAAGAAAAAGATTAAACCCGATTTTAAAAAAAATAATTTCTTCATTTTCTTCTTATTTTAAAATTTTTGTTTAAATTCCCTCAATATTTTGACTTAATAAACGTCGAAAGAACAAAGCAAAAAATAATATCGACAAAACAAAAATCCAAATAAGAGGATTTTCTAAAAGAAAGGGACGAGAAGAGGGTTGAATTAATTGTTGTTGTTGTTGAGTATTTGGAAGGATATTATTGTTAATTGAAATTTGTTGTTGTTGGGTTGATTCTTCGACTTTAAAAGAAAATTTAATTAAAATATTTTTCCTAATAAAAATACTTTGTTGTGGAGGGTCACTAATTAAATTATTTTCTGATGCATCCACAACTTCTCTCACAATCGATTCAAGAGTAGAAACTTTAAAAAATTGTAAAGTATTTTAAAAATTCAGGCTATTTGTAAACTATTTTTCGGTTTCACTTTAGGAATGAATTTTAAAGAATTTTTTAACAGAATCTCACCATCGGATATAGGCCCGTACCAGGGGGGGGGGGGAAATTCCCCCCCCCCCCCTTCCACGAAATGGGAAAAAGGGAAAAACTTGGGGAAGGGATTGAGTGAATTTTTTGGCCTTCGAATTTTAAAAATTTTCTCCCCTTGGCCCTACCCCCGAAAAAAATCCTGACTACGGACCTGATCGGATATAATATATTCAGCAATAACTATAATAATTCTCCCGTTTTTTCAAAAATTTATTTAAAAAAAATTCACCAATTTCTGGGACGGATGAATTTTCTTCAAGAGAAACAGTTTGTTTACAAGAAACATTCTTTACTTCCTCAATTAATCGTTTAGTGTCTTCATTTTTCTCAATTTGAGGAAGAACATCCCTCATTTTAATTCCACATTGAGGACAATTCCAATCCAAACTCCTTTTAAAAAAATTAAAAATAATTTTAAATTATTTTAAAGCTTTTAAGCCTTTTGTGGATCAAAATTCTTAAATTCCCAAACTTTATATTATTTTTTAAAAAGTCGAAAACTTTAAAATCCTATAACTTTTCGAAATGGGGTCGGAGCCAAAAAAGCCAGAAGCTCTGATAGGTTATCGACTACGCTCTACACGATGGTAGAATTTTTATTTAAAAATTTTTGGTCACAGTTCGGAAGGTTCCCTTGTCAGAATTTTATTTAAAAAACTATATATACATTATTGCCAATCGTTGTCTTTCCTCTGGACTACACTCCAAACTTCCAAGTGCTCCAGCTGAATGAGTAGGCCTAAAAATTAAGAATAAATTTTAAAACACAGCTAAATTCAAAATATACATAAATCCAATAAGTGCAAGCAGAGCTGTTCTAATTGACCAAGACGGCAGCCAAGTCTCGGGGTGATAACCAGAAATACTAGGAATTAAAAAAATATTTATGGGAAAATATTGGACAAATATTAGAGATGAAAATATTTTTTTGGAATTTTTCCTTATTTATTTTCCTGATTTTAGCCTGTCTTCCGAAGAAAATTTTCAATTAAAATTTAAAAAAACCTTAAACAAATATTTTTATTTGTTTCGAATCTTCCATTCGGCGTTAGAAGACGTAAATTTGGGGGCTTCATTGGATACTCAACAGGAAGCAAAATTCGTCCGTGATAGACACCCTCCGAATAAACAGTATCTGGAGGCCCTCGAACAGTAAAATGCCATTCAAAAAGGTTTTCCTTTAAGCTTTGAGGTTATTTACAAAATAAAATCAGAAAACCTCCAAAGGTTGAGCATGAAATAATTCATTAGGTTTACAAAGTTCTTTTGCTTCATTCAATAAACGTTTAACCCCTTTAATTTAATTAAAATATAAAATTAATTTTTAATTAAAAACCAGTAGAACGTTGACTATTTAATTCATTCGCATTTTGGACAGAAGAATTTCTTTGGGAATTTTCTGGATTCATTTTATAATTAAAAATTCATCTAAATATTATTTATTTATTGCCATAAAGGCGCAATGAAAATAAAAACAATAAAGTCAATGAGAACAAATGATTATAAATTTAATTAATTAAGCTTCAATTCAGAACTTAAACAAGACAAATTTGGATTTTTAAATAAACTCCAACAATTATTTATCAAGAAAAGATTTTTGGGTTAATTCATCGTAAACTACTATTTAGTTGGCCCCTGACCCTTTCTGGGACAAAAAGTTTAAATTTAGAGATTTTTGGCATAAAGAATTTTTAACAATCACAAAGAGTTGAGCGTGTCTGGTGATTTTGCCTGTAAATGATTTGAGCAATTAACGTTAAAAAATTTTCACGCAAAAAAAATTCGAGTAACACGTGAAAAATAATTATATGTATAATCTCAGCATTAACTTTGTTTTACTTATATTTTTCAAAAAATTAATAATTACATAAACAAATGGCAACATAATAAAATTAAATGAAAAGAGATGGATGGTTAAACACTGCTACGGGGCCTCAATTACCCACCTATTCTTGGAAATTTTTAATTATATGTACATATGTACCTATTTATTTTTTAATGTTTCTCTTAAGCAAAAAAAAATTTTAAATTTTAAATTTTGTTATTAAATGCTGTAATAAGCATCTTACTATTTTTAATTATTTATGTATGTCTGTGATTTTTAATAGTGAAATGTGGCTTTAATCGATGCGGCGAGAGAATAATATGGCAGTAAATGTATTATATTATAGCCCTAAATATCAACTTAGAATAATTAAACAAAAAATCGGCAACTTTAAAGTAAATAAATATTTTTATTTATTTAACTTAAATTAATCTTTAATATTTAATATAGTAAATTGCCGGTATCAGAAATATTTAGATAATATTCACAATAATTTACCGATAAAATTTGTGAGAATTCTTTCTGAATATTTACATAATTATTTATTCTTTTTTAGAGTTATTTAAGAATTTTTTCTTTAATTTTCTTATTAATTTACTATTTAAAAATATTATTCACTAATTTAGACAATAAAAATCTTTTTAAACTATTTTTAAAGCATTTTATTTATTAAAAAATTCTCTCTACAAAAATTAATATTTGATTATTTTCTATCAATATGTATAATTTTAAATTATCACTTTTACTATTCAATTTAAATTAATTAGTGAATAAATAAATTAATTAAATCTATTGAAATTTTTATTAATTTTAAATTATTAATGTGTATTTAGTTATTTTTTATTTATTTCTTTAATTATTAATAATCATTAATTTTTAATTGTTTTTCTTTCATTTCCAAAACTTAAATTACTTTATAAAATATTTTTACTTATAAAGATTTAAAAATGATCACCAATATTTTATTAAATAAATTAATTTTTTATGTACTATTTTTATTAATTAATTTAATTTCTTCTACTTCAATTGCACCAAATTTTAGAATTGATTGTGCTCCTATACCGGGAGAAAATAAATTCAAATGTTTAGAACGAGGATGTATTTGGGATGATAATTATGATAAAGTAATTATAAACTTAATTTAAAGCAAATAATAATTTTAAATTTATTTTTGGTTCTTTATTTTAATGAACTTCTTAGAAAATTTAATTATCCTTACGGAATAGGATATACCGTATTTCCTATATTAGAGCCCCATGGGGCTCTATTTTTCAACTATCCTCCAGGGTGGGGCTGTATTAAAGGGTGGGGCTCTAATTGAGGGTGGGGCTCTATTTTTCAACCCTCTTTGAGTTAAAATCCCATTTATTAACTGTCCATTGCAACAAGAGATAGGCCGGAGGGGATGGTCGATAAAACCGAAAATATCAAAAGCGAATCGATATTTTTTTTGATTTTTCATGAAAAATTAAAACTTTTTAAGCAATGAATAACAAAATAGTCACAATAATTCAATAAGAGTAAGATTAATATTAAATATTAATAGATTTGGACGGATTAAAGGAAATATTAGGGGACTAGTGTTTGACATCGATGGATCAGAGGTATAAGAGTGGCTTTTAAGGGATTATGGGGAATACAGAGGATTAAGCTTATATTGAGAGATTTAGCGGGATTAAGAGGGATATTCTGGACTAGGGGTATTAGGAGGCAAATGAAGGGATTTTGTTTGATGAAGCTTTTGAACAAGTTCCAGAACTGGAACCGATTTTGGAGAAATTTTGGAACTTCATCACTGATTATAAGCGAGATCTCTAATAGATCTTTAATAATCTCTCGAATTATCGCCAAGTGCCTAACACGATTGCAACCCTTCATATTGAAACCCTTCAAAAATTGCAACCCTTCATAAATTTATTTTATTGGAGATAATAGGAGGGATTTGGAGGAATATAGGCGATTCTAGAGTATTTGGGCGGATATCGAAGTTATCCCCTCCTTTTCATTTCTATATTCCTATGATCCCTCCTCCTTCTTGATCGCGATATCATCGAGATCCATCCCCTTTATTTCCTTAACTCTCTTAATACATCTAAAAAGTTATTGGGATAATTTTTCCTCCAATATTTTTTAGGTGGGGCTTTATTTGGGGTGGGGCTCTAATTGAGGGTGGGGCTCTATTTTTTAACTATCCTCCAAAGTGGGGCTGTATTAGAGGGTGGGGCTCTAACAGAGGGTGGGGCTCTAATATAGGAAATACGGTAATTAAATTAATGCTATAAATATTTTTTTCAATTTTTACTACAGTCGGACCTCGTTGGGAACAGGCCAGTGTACCGCGAGCCCAATGTACCGCCGAGCTATAACTTTGTTCAAAATTGTCGAATCCGTGGCGCTCTGGTATGGTTCGATGCGTTTCGACCAGCTGAATCGAACCATACCAGGGCGCCACGGATTCGACAATTTTGAACAAAGTTATAGCTCGGCGGTACATCGGGGTGTACCCGACCTCGTTTGATTTTACCAAAAAATCTATTTATAAAAGGTATATTTAGTGTAGAACCCGGACTGAGACGAGATCTCGATCAGGAATCTTGGTTATCGAGATCTTAATTCGCGTACGACCCTACTCTAATTTATTTTGTGTATTTTGTTTATCTTTAACTAAAAAATATTTAATTATTTTTTATTTTTAAGTATCATTCTTCTGTTCCTCTTTGCTATTTTCCACCAAAGACTGGATATCGAATTCAAAAACGTTTAACTAAAAATAAATTATTATTAGAGAGAACTAAAGGAGCCAGAAATCCTTACGGGGAAGATTTTAAATTATTGGAATTTGAAGTTGAAGAGATTTCTTCTGCTCTTTATGTTAAAATTGGACATGATAAACGGTAATTAATTTAATTAAAAGTAAAGGAAGGTGAAAAAGTATTAGTTCCCTTAAGAATTTTCTAGTTTTATTCCTCCAATCGAATTAAACTTAAATTCAAAAATTGAAACATCAAAAGAAGATAAATTAAATATTGAAATATTCCCTCAATTTAAACAAAAATTGAATGGTCTGAGTGATTCTGATGAATTTTTTTCTTTTAATATTGTTAGGAATAAAACAAAAATATGGGATACTTCTATCGGTAATTAATTAAAATTAAATTAATTTTTTATGAAGAGTTTCTTTAAGGGGGCCTTCTTTTTGCTGATCAGTATATTCAAATAGCTACTTATTTACCTAGTGATAGAATATATGGATTTGGAGAAAGTCCACATCAGTCATTAAAAGTGGGTTTCCTAATTTTTTATAACTTTTCCTTAAATTTTTTAGCATGATTTTTCAAAATATACAACTTGGGGAATGCTTGGTAGAGATCAACCACCAGATTATTACAACCCCAATTCGGCCAATTTATATGGTGAAAAATTTATTTATTTTAAAAAATTTATTTATTTTTAGGTGTTCATCCATTTTATATTGGATTAGAATCAAATGGAAAGGCACACGGAGTTTTAATTTTAAATTCAAATGCACAGGAGATAACTACGGGACCTGGGCCACACTTAATTTATAGGTAGGATATAAAAATGTTTCTTTTGTCTAAAATATGTATACTAATCCTCATTATGTATGTACATGATAATCAGTTTGCATGACACTCAAACATTAACTTTCATCTACATCTATCTCGTTGTCACAATCTAAAAATATATAAAAATTATCCAAAAAATTTTTTCTTAATTTTTAGAACAATTGGCGGGAGACTCGACATTTTATTTTTGCCAGGACCTACCCCAGAACAGGTTATCCAACAATTTCAACAAATAATTGGCCGCCCTTGTATGCCTGCTTATTGGGCATTAGGCTATCAATTTAGTAGATTTGGATATAAAGTATTAAATGAATTTAAATTAATAAAAATATTTTGTTTGTTTAAAAGGGTTTGGATGATTTAAAACAAACAATAAACAGAATGATTAATGCTAAAATACCTATTGATGTTGTTTTTGCTGATATTGACTATATGGAACGTTATAAGGATTTTAGTGTTGATTCTGAGGTATTTAAATATTTTTTGAGAGAGATTTTGGAAATTGAAAAAATTTAATAGAAATGGGTAGCAATGAAAGAATATATTAATTATTTACATGATAAAGGGCTCCGATTTGTTCCAATTGTTGATCCAGCAATACAGGTGGATTAAAAGAATATTTAATTTTGGAATTTTTTTAAAGGTTAATTATGATGTTTTTGAAAGAGGAATTAAAAGTGGAGCTAAATTTGTTGAATGGGAACGTTTTGATCAAGTTCAAAATTCTATACAGAAATTATATCCTTTAACTAAATCAACAAAAATAATGCTGGGAATTGTTTGGCCTGATAAACATGTTGCTTTTCCTGATTTTTTCGATTTTGACAGAGAAGGCAAAACACAAAAATGGTAAAAAATATGTACTTAATTTGTAAAATTTATTAATAAATGTCCAAATCTTGGAAGAAAAATGAAGTAAAAATCGGAAATTAAAAAAATAAAACCTCCTAATCAGGGCTAGACGCATTTACGAATTGCGTAGAATTGCGTGTTTTTTTGACTGCGGATTTTAAAATGAAAATTGCGGCTGCGGAATTTTTTCAATTGCGTCCAGCCCTGCTCTCAATCCAGAAACAACTAAATATTTTAAAATATTACACTTTTAATAAAAAATCATATAATATACCTTACCTTATTAATATTATTATAATAATTATTTAAATTTTTTCAAAAATAATTTTTAGGTGGATTGACGAAATAAAGAGATTTCATGACATAGTAAATAAATTTAAAAATATATTTTTTTAATTTCTTAAAATTAGTTACCTTTTGATGGTCTTTGGATTGATATGGATGAACCTTCAAATTTTGCAACAAATCAACAAGCAAAAGAAAAAGGCTTAGAAACATTAAAATGTCCAATGAATGGACCTGATTCTAAATATGATAATCCTCCATATAAGGTGCTAATTTATTTTTAAGACTGAGAATTAAATTTAATTTAAAGACAATAAGTGTTTATCAATGGAAAAGTTTTCTTAGTGAAAAAACTCTTTGTATGCTTGGTAGAACTAGAGGGGGAGATTATAATTTATATGATACGCACAATTTATATGGATTGGCCGAAACTATTGTTACTCGAAAAGCTTTGGGTAAATTTAGATAATTTTTAGTAAATATAGTCCTCTTAAATAATTTTTTTCTTTATAAAATTTTACTAAATATTTTTATCAATTTAAATAAATTATTTTTTAAAGTTTATTTTTGTTGTAGAATCAGCAACAGGCAAAAGGGGGGAATTAATTTCACGTTCAACATTTATTGGTTCTGGTAAATATGGAAGTCATTGGAGTGGGGATAATTCTGCTAAATGGACTGATCTTCGGGCTTCCATAATTAGCGTTATTGAATTTAATATTTTTGGTGGTTTTTAACTTCATTTTTTAATTAAAAAATTTTAAGGAATTCCACATATGGGGGCGGATGTTTGTGGTTTTAACGACCCTTCAAACGAAGAACTTTGCCTTCGTTGGCAACAATTGGGGGCATTTCATCCTTTCTTTAGGTTAGAAAATTAATTGTTAGTCGAAAAAAAACATTTTTATTTTTTTAAAGAAATCACAATTCTGACGGTTTACCTCCACAGGACCCCTGCCAATGGGTATCTGTAGAAATTGCAACACGCGTCTCTAATTTATTTCGTTATCAACATTTACCTTTCTTATATACGTAATTCTTATTTAAATTTTTTTTTTCAATTTTATATTTTTTCAGATTACATTTTCAAGCTTCACTCAAAGGGGGCACAGTTATTCGGCCACTTTTCTTTGAATTTCCAAATGATTTTAATACTCATGATTTAAATTATCAATTTTTGTGGGGATCTTCTTTGATGGTTATTCCCGTTTTGGATCCTGGGGTAAAAAATTGTTTAATTTAAAAAATAATAAAATAATTTGAAAAAAACTATACTTAAAAAATTAAAAAAAAGGTCTTCTTTCTAAGCTTAAAGGTGATCTTGTTAATTTACATTAATCCCTCATTTATTTATACCCTCAATGTAATTATACTTTATTTTTTTATTTAGATGATTTTAATTTTTATCTTTAAAAAATATTTTTAAAGGTAGATAATGTCCGTGCCTATTTTCCGATTGATTCTGTTTGGTATTCAATTAGTCATGCAAATCAATATGGATCTGAATATTTTTCTGGTTATTATAATTTAAATGCGCCTCGTGATACTCCTTTACCTACATTTTTAAGAGGTACTTTTTAAATAAATTTTTATATTTTTCTTTAAGGTGGTTCAATAATTGTAAAACAATGGCCAGGACTTACAACAAAAGAATCTCGAAGAAATCCTTTTCAATTAACTGCTGCTTTGGGTAATTTTTAAATTAAAATTATAATTAACAACTTTTTAAAATCGGGGGTCTTTTGTAGCTATTTATAAAGCATTTATAGCTGAATTCTAAATTTTTTATAGGGAGAGACACTTGAAAAACAAAATACATAGGGCGGAATCGTTTCCCAATTGATTCTGTTTGTTATCTCTATTAATCCTACCTTTTTTGAGCTTATTTTTGGTGTCAAAAATTAAATAATATTTTATTTGAGATTATTTAAGTAATAAATTGAACAATGAAAACTAATTTTAAATTCAGACCCAAAAACTTTAACCGCCGAAGGTCAACTTTATTGGGATGATGGAGAATCAATTATTTCGAATTTTGATAGTCATCAATTTTATCATTTTGAATTTACAATTAAAATTACAAGTGAACATAAAGGGAATTTAACAATTATACGTAAACATACTCCAAATAATGTAAAAGTTTTTTTAAAAATTAAAAAAAATATTTTTTTCTTCCCCTCCTTTTGGGATTTCCTTAATCTGACTTTATTTTAAATTAATTATTCCAATCCTAAAACTTTTAATTTTTCTAGACATCAATTATTTCTTTACCTCCACTTTCAATTATTGAAATACTTGGATATAATACAACACCAACATCCAACAACTATTTAAATATTCAAATAAATGGAAAATATTTAAATATTAAAAACAGTGAAATACAAATAAATTTAAATAAAACAAAAAAATATTTAAAAATACTTTCCCCAGTTTTAATTAATTTAAATGATAATAAACAAGATGTTTGGAATATTGAATGGTTTTGATTAAAGAAAAAAGAAGAAAAATAAAATGTTAAATGATTTTCAAAAAATATTTTTTTTTAATTTTTTTCAATGATTTTTTTACTTATTTATTATTAATTTTTGAAATAAATTAATTAAAAAATTATTTAATTTACAATAATTTTTTTGATACTTTCGCATTATACCCCTCCCCTCCCCCAACACCGCAGATATTTTTCGCAAAGTTTGTCTTTCTTTTTCATACCTTCTTTCTCCTCTCATAAAGATTAAAAAATGTCAAAGGTAAAAATCAAAAAAAATACTAAAAATAACTTAGGTATAACTTTTTGGGAACAAAGTTGGTGTGAATATGAACCCTTACTCTACGTCAATAAGTACCCAGATTTTTTAGAACCTAAGGTCCTGTATTCTGAGCGTGTACAGTAGCTTTGATTGAGTAGAACCCCCAAAAAGATTTTATGGGAAAAAATTTACCTATAACTTATTGCAAATAATAGTGGTAGAATCAAAGCAGCTTTGATTCTAATTGCTGCGGCTTGTGATTAACAAATCTGTCTGAAAGCTAATTTAAAAAATAAATTTGGTATCTTTCTCAAACTTACTGCCTTATTTAAATTAACCTTCCCAATTGTTAATCTTTTGACTTTTTAAATCTTTATGAGGGGAAAAGAGGGGAAACATTGTGAAAAAACATTTGAGGACATATGAACAACCCTTTATGTACATATAACCAAAAAAATAAAAATATTTTTTATAAATATTATTTATTTTCGTTTATTAGATACCTTTCCTTATCAAAATAATAAAATTAAATAAAGGTTTTATCTATTTTTATTTATTAAGAAATTATTTATTTCATACATATTTATGAAATTGATGTAAATAAATAAACCAATATATTTTTAACATTTTTTGAGTATTTAATATTTTCATTTTTAAAATATTTTGGGTTTCTTTGCTTATAATTTTGGGGTCTGTATTTTTTAATAATAAAAAAGATTAAAGTTTGTCGGGGTAGAGCCGAGGAGGTCGGGCCGGAGTTTTTGCCAAAAAAAATCCGTCGGGTCGGGGTTTTCTAGGTCGGGTTGCTGCTCTGGTTAAACGTTCCAGAATACTCCAAATTAAGTAATTTATATTGTAGTTTGTTTTAATAGAGAAATTGACGGAGTTTATATTCCTTAAATTTTCTTATCTTAAATAAATTTATAATCAATTTTACATATTTAAAAATTAAATATATAAGATATTAATATTCTGTCAATTATTATTTTAGTAAATTATTTATTGAGAATTTATTTAAAAAGAATTAAGGGCCTAAAATGATTCTTGTTCTGTTAATTATCCAAAAATATTAGATAATTTTAAAGTTTTACTAATTATTCAAAAAAATTTTTTAAAGGATTTAAACAAATATTTGTAGTAATTTCCACTTACTTCTACTAAATTCATTTAAATTATCAACAACAAAAACAATGGGAGAAGGATTTCATTTTCATCCAGATTATATTTCCTCAAATAGAGGAATAACTAAAATTGTCCAAATTGTTTTGGGTTTGGTTGTTTGTTCGGTTTTGTGCTCTAATTGGTTTGAGGGTTTTTTCTCTTGATTATTTAAAAATAAAAAGATTTTTGATTTTTTCTAATTGGTACTCCAATTAGTTTAATAATAAAAATATTTTTCAAAAATAATAATATCCAAAAATATTTTTTTCCAACTTTTAATAAAAAAATTAAATAAAGGTATGGCGGTTCAAGCTGTTTTGGCGAAGGGCGACTTGGTTATGTAAGTGGACTTAACTTTATTGTTGTTGTTGTCAACATTGTGATATTTCTGCTTGGTTTATTTAGTATACGCTTTCATAAAACGGTAATGATTATTTTTAAATAAAAATATTTTAATCATTTTTATCAGTGAAATAAAAAATATTAGATATTTTAAAGTAATTTAAAGCTAGCTCAGATTTATAATAAAGATAACACAGTCTAAAAGCCAAAATAATTTTGTGTTTTTAAATTGAGAATTAAAAGAAAATGGAGAATTTTAAAAAATTCTTTAAATTTTAGGAACAACTTTATAATTTAATTGCGGCTCTACTATTTCTTATAGCCATTGTTTTGCTCCTTTGGTTTATGATTCAATACAGTACCTGGGGAATTTGGATGATAATTGTTGTGGTATGGTTTTTTAATTTTAAAATAAATTTTAGAAGTATTCCCATCCAATTTTTTAATTAAAATTTAATTAATTTTTTTTAATTTCTAAAGGTTTGTATTATTATCATCTTCATACTTTTCCAATGGGATTTTAAAGGAAATCGAACAATGCAAGATGGACATTTACCTATTTAATTTAAAATATGTATTTACAATTAGGGATTAGACTAATTGCACCTAAAGTTTAAAAATGTCCACAATCGAATAAAACCCGGGGGATATAAGCATGTTTGAAATTTAAAAATATTGAAAATACTTTTTTAGTCTAATCCTTAATACAGTAATGGATAAAACAATAAAGACTCGCTCTGTTAAAAGCTTTGCAAAATTTTTTAAAATTTTCCTATGAATATAATTTTGGGTTCATTTTGTAGCCCAAATTATCCTTTTTAAAATAGGCTATAACTTCGATGTATATCTTTTTGTGATTTTATAATAATCGTTACTATTCCAAAGCTTACAACACTTTTTACTATAATTTCAGCCTAAGAAAGTCATTAAGCTTATGGAATAGAAGAACAAATTTTTAAAAAAGTTCATTTATTTTATCTTATAGCAAATCTTGTGGGCTATAAAATGAGCATATAAATAAATTTTTTAATACTATTAATAAGGCGAAAGGTTTAAACAAAGCGAAAGCCGTTATAATTTTGTCCACTACTGTATTTAAATACTTAAATAAAAATAACTTCAAATATCAATTTATTTTTCATTAAATTTAATTTCTTTAACATTCAAAAATTAACAAATGTTTTCATAAATTCAAAATAAAAAAAACAACAATTTAAATTAAATAACAAAAAAAAACTTTTTCCCCAAATTTTCATTCCTCAACTTTCTTTGCCTTTTTCTTTTTCATTTTCTTAGCAGGTGGAGAAGTAATTTCTTCCTCCTTTTCAACTTTACCTCCTTCTCCATTCTCGGTTTGCATTACCTCATCCTCTTCTACTGCTGCAGCTCTTTCACGTTTTAAACGTTTCCTTTCTTTCTTGCGAAGTTTTTCAATCTTAAAAAAAATTTTTTTTAATTTTTTACAAGTATTTCAGAAAAAATCAAAATCCTTAAAAATTATTCTAATTGTGGGAAAACTCGAAAAAATACAAACCTTTGCCTTTTCTTCATTTGCCAATTCCATTGCTTCATGCATTACATCAATATTCTTTTTAGGCGCAGTTCCAGTGTCGTAATATGTTAGTCGATCCTCTACCTAAAAAATAAAATATTTGAATGGTTCTGAAATTTTCTTCGTTTTTAACAAGTTTCTAACTCATTCTTTGTCCAAAATAAAATTTATAAAAACAATTTATCCTTTATTTAAAATATTGGTACTTTATGGATATGTCACCCCCCCTCCTATTTTGAGTCTCAGAGTTTTCCTTAAACGTAGAAAATGGTCAAAGATTATTTTCTTCTCCATGTCAATCATTTTTCTTTTTTCAAGCAAAATAAGTGAAATGTGGAAACGAAATGAGTGAAATATAAGTACAAAATATGTGAAAAGGCAAAATAAAGAAGCAAAATACTTGAAGAAGAAAAAAATGATTGACACGGAGAAGAAAATAATCTCTGACCATTTTCTACGTTTAAGGAAAACTCTGAGACTCAAAATAGGGGGGGGGGGTGACATATCCATAAAGTACCAAAATATTTACTTGTTGTCGAAGCATTTCTCCAAACGTAGGAACTGGCAAATCAGAAAAACTATCAATACGGGAAGCAATTGCACATTTATTAGCAAGGAATCGGCTAATTCTTCCCTTATGTTTAGGTGGGGCACGTCCAATAAATGTTGAATGGAAAATGAGACCATATTTTGGAGTATTTGCTAGAAAAAGGAATTTAAATTAAATTGTTTAAAATCCAATTTTTGTTAAAAATAAAAAAACAACTCAACCGCTCTAAAAGTCGAAAACTTTAAATCCCTATAACTTTCCTATTGGGGGGGGGGGGGGGGGGTAGGGCCGTAAATGCAAAAAATTGGCATTAGGAAATCACCTTGCTCTACATGAAGGTATAAAAATAATTACGAATTTTTTGGTTACAGTTCGATATGGTTTCTTGTAAGACCAATTTTAGTTCCCCAATGTCTACAAGTGTTTATAACAAAATACAAACTTTTAGTTTTCAATGCTCTAAAAAGTGCCTTCTCAGCTCCCAAAATTTGAATAGTCGATGCTGGATATTTTGCCAAATTTGTTAAACTTCCAGCACGAGAAATTAAACGCGCACCAACCTTAAAATAATTATTTAGTTATTTAAAAAAGAATAAATTAATACTTGTTCTCCAATTAATGCAGACAACGAAGGCGCACAGCTATCCATACGATTCTGAAAAAATTAAATATTACATACAAGAATGCTGAAAATAAGAATTAAAAATCAAACAAACTTTAATATATTCATGTAAACGTTGTCTATATTCAGCCAATGCAGCAACGCGTTTGGCAAAAGCATCAATGTTAATTAAATCCATTTGAGCAATTTCCATTCCCATTGAAGTACGTGCTGCTTCGATTATTTCAGCCGCCTTTTGCTCATCATCAATAATTTCTAGAAAAAAGGGATAAATGTGTATAGATATATAATACAAAGGTGAATACAGAAATCGGATTTAGATATGAGGATAAACTGATAATATTGGAGTTTAAAACGTAAAAGTTAAAAGTTCATGTTTGCGTCGTCCTAGTCAGAGATAAGGATCCCTCACATTCGCTATTTACGCAATTACAAAATTTTAAGCTTTTGTTTAAAAAGTAGTATTACCCAAAGAAAATTGTAAACTGAACAAATATAAAAAAAATAAAACCTTTAATCTTCTCTTCAACATTATTATCAATTTTTTCTCTATCCATTATGGCAGAAGCACATTTAACATATTTGTAAAGGTCTGGCACTAATCTAATAAGCTCCGGAAAATGATATGCATACCATTCTTTTATACGCATTCCAAAAAGATTTATATCCTTATCTAGTTGGTCCAAAAGAGCAATTGATTGAATAACCATATTATCGACACGATGGACATCGAATTTAACCTAAAAATTACATTATTGAATTAAATAGGTTAATAAGGAAAAACTAGGAATATTTCGTTATTATAGGCTAAGGACAATGTTAAAATTCAAAGTATAACTTCTAAGCTTACAATAAATAATTTAGAGTGGAATTAGTCCTAACGATAATCCAAGGTTCTAAAAAACTACAAAAATAATTTTAATATAAACCTTTGAGCGTGAATAGCTATGACCCAACGAAAGTTGTGCTTTATTTAAAGACGCATGAGGCAAATCCTTAGCCAACAAATGGAAATGTGTTCGAACTCCTCTAAGGATTTCCTGAACAACAACAGCAAAAGTACACCGTAAAAGAGATTGAAATGCCTCTGAAATTGAGACAGCTAGACGACTATCAGCAACACCGAGCAGAACTTTTTTCTTCTTTTTAGGCAAAAATGCCTCCAGAAAGTTCAGTAAATCCGAATGAACTTGACCTAAAAATGTAATGTGCAATATTTAAAACGACAAAAATTTTGAGACATTAAATCAATATTTTTCGAAGTTGGGCTTTTATTGGGAAAACCAATAAATTCCAAAGCATTTTTTAAATAAAATGGGAGGATTTCGAAGTTGGGTTTTGTTAGTAAAACCCCAAATATCGATAAATCATCCCAAATATAATTTAATATATTTATTTTCCTTTCCTGTGCACTTTGACCTTTTTTCATATTCCTTTCTCACAAACACTTAGCTATAACCGGAAGGAAAAGAGATAACAATCGCCGTTAGGGGCGAACAAACACTTAAGCTTATATGCCTGTCCCGTATAAATATTAATCTTTTTCTTTCACACATTGACTTTTAATGACACTATTAATGAACATTTAACAAACTTCAATCTTTTTTGTATTACTCATACTTAAAACTTTATACTTTGTATAACTAATTATTCGAATAAATTATTATTTATTTCGACTTCTTATTTTATTATAAGACAACAATTTGCCTTAGTGCAACCACTTTATTTAACCTTCGGTTAACATTTTACCTCCGGGTAACTACTTTAATTTACCACGATTTATCACATTTTTGTGAGTTTCGATATCTGGCGACCCAGACAGGACTCGAACCTGCAACCTTCGGTTTTTTGCGAGTTTCGATATCTGGCGACCTTTTGACCGTGATCGGACTTGCTACTGGAAAGTGGTAAAAACAAATAAAAAGTCCTAAACAGCTTTTTATTTAAATTTCTGAAATTTATCAGACAAAATTTTAAAATATTTAGGAAAAAATTTTATTTTTAATAATTTTTCAGCAAATATTTCATATAAGCTTTGAAATTATTAAAATTTCTCAAAAAACAGGTTTACTTTTATAAACCTCTTCAGCAACAATCTCACTAATTTCCTCGTTGGGGAGGATATCTAATAAAAGTAATTTTGTTTCCTTCTAAATGTCTTCCATCATGATAGATGTAGCTGAAATGGCTACCAACAAGGGAAAAATTTATTTAAAGAGAGAGATCCCAATGGAGTTAGGTCCATTGGCAACAAATAATGAACTCAGACGTCAACTTTACGTGACGGAAGACACGATTGACGGATTGGATGAAGTAAATAGTAAACTTAAATCAATTTTTGATAAGGGGAGGAAAGTCCTATCAAACTGGCCAGTCACCACCCGAGAAAAAAGATGGGTGGAATTTAATAAAAGAATGAAAGAATTGGGCGTTAGAGCCCTGAGCCAGCAAATATCCCAAAAATTAAAACTATGGAAAAAACGAAGATGGCTATTACACGATAGACTACAAATACCACAACCCGAAGAGCACACTGAAGAAGAGGTGCAAAATCCGCAACTTTACATGACGATCGATCGTATAGCACTGAACGAAACTAATAGAACATTCCCCTGTCGCTTCTGCGACAATCAGCACCGATCAATAAAATGCCGAACTTTTAATACTGCAGAAGAAAGACGCGTTAGGGCGTCAGAAAGAAGAATATGCTTTATATGCCTACAGCAAGGCCATGAGCATAAAAATTGTAGCCGTAGACGAGATTGTGCCTTTTGTGGCAACTCACAACATAACGCAGCGTTCTGCGAGAAATTATTCAAGAATACCGACGAAGAAGAATATTTAGAAAATAATGAAGAATATTTAGAAAATAATGGCGATAAGGCCATCGCCGACCCGAAGAAAGAAGAAATAATTGAAAATGCCATGCCTTTCCAAAAGTCAAACCCTTTAATCTGTAAGGATGTAACAGTAAAAACCCCAATAATTTCCCTTGGCGTTGGTGCCACTAATTTGAATACTTTGTCGAACATAACAAACGCCAATGTTTTTCAATTTATGGAGCTCCAACATCAAAGAACCCTTAGATGGATTGAGGCTACCACGGCCATTCCAACTCAAAAATTTATTATGTCAGAAAATATAAGGGATTTAGTCCCAGAACATAAACCCGTAAGGACGTTAGAGTTCTACACACCCCCAAACCAAAACTCGATAGAGACGAAGGAGCGGGTTGGGCCGCAAACTGAAGTATCTACGGAAATATACTTGAAGAACCGAAACAATAATGAGAAAAATATTGAATTATCGACTAGTGTGCTCTTGGAACAGCGAGTAAAATTGGAGAAAGTAAGAAGGAGTCTAATAGCCCATCCTAAGATTTTAAAAAGAAAAACAAATAGTCGTCCCCGGAAAAGTGAATCAGAAGAGAATAGGAGGTTGCTCGCTAATAAAACGATTCCGGTTAGGCAGAAATCAAACCACCCAAATAATTTAAAACAGAAAAAGCGCGTTGGGGCGCAATTAAAATTGAAAAATTATAGTAAGCCGTTAGAGGCTAACTCACCAATTGTATTTCTCTGTGACGAGAGAGCGTTAGAGCTCCGAAACGTCATAAAGGAAGAAAACCTAAGAGGTTTGGTGTTCGAACCATCCTCGTGGGATTCACAATTATTCCGAAATCAAATATTACTAAGAAAAGTCGACACATTAGTAGTTTGGAAACAATCCATAGATAAAGGACTGTTGGAAGTCCTAAGAGAAGCAAATTCCCTTAAAAGTGTTGTACGAAAAATAATTTGGATCGTGCCGTTAGAAGGCATCGAAATACCAAGCTTAAAAAACATTACAGCGGTTAGAAAGCCTACAAAAATCCAGTCATTATTAATTAAATTAGCAATCTTGGGAACACCCTTAATGACAAGAGAGACAAAGGAAAAATGTATTCGTCCAAAAGAAAAAGAACCTCCGAGGGAATTAAATATCCGGCACCCCAAAAGAAAAAAACGCCCGTTAGTGGGTGAAAATAAAAATTTAGAGACTTCTAGCCTTAATAAAGAAGTTAAACAAAATATTTCTAATAAAGCAGAAAAAATGATTTACTATCAAAATAATTCGAAAAAGCACCAGTTGGATGGTGCCAACAAACCCAGACTACACCGAGAATTTTATCCCTCTAAACGTTATGGGACTAAAGAAAATCGTTCTGGTCAAAAGGACCAACAGTGCTCGTTAGGGAGTTTAAGCAATCAATATAGTCCCCGAACCTTTTACCCTAGCAAATTAAATCATCAAGAATTGTATTTAAATTCAAAAATCAAAAACCGCCCGTTAGAGGGTACAGCAAAAAATTTTCGATTCTATCGTGAATTTTATCCCAGTAAACATTCATCTGGCGTTAGGGCCAATAATATTAAGGTTAGCAATATGGATCAATCACACAGAAATGATGGATTGGACAATGGCATGCAACAAAAATCATGGAACTTGGCAACGTCGATGTCAGGAAATAATTGGTTTGGAGAAAAATGAGAAAAGATGAGCAAAAAACAAAAAAAAAAATCGATAAATTTTTTTATATAATTTTTTAGTTTTTTTTGGTTTTATTTTTGTTTGTATCAATTCTCTTTATTTCTAAGGACCATTCCAAAATTAATTTCAGCCGTTAGAGGCGCATCATAAATTCACCGGGATATGCCCTATCCCTGGGTCCTATACCCTATCCCCACTATTTTGTAAAACAAAGCCGTTAGGGACAAATCATTGCTAAGCCAAAAATTGCACCCTGCCGTTCGTGGCATCCCATTGATTGATAAACCGCACCCATGGAGCTAGTTTTTGGCGGAAAATATTTAAGCTCTCTACAAGCCGCTTACCCCTAAATTAGAAACTAAGGGAAATCAGGAACTTCAAAAATGCCGTGACCTTGTGTCATAACCTGGATACAGAAATCAAAGGGGGCACAAGGCACGAAAGAAAAAATCGAATGGTTACGAGAATCGTTAGAGATTCTCCTGATCGAAAATGCCATTTTTTAAATAAACGAGGAAGATATCAAAGAAATTACCCGAATTTTAATATACACAGCCGTTAGGGGCTAAATGATTCTTATAAAATAATTCTTTTCGTGAAAACCCAAAACCCGAATCCCAAAACATTTTCTAAAAAAGTGGGAGGATTTCGAAGTTGGGCTTTTATTGGGAAAACCAATAAATTCCAAAGCATTTTTTAAATAAAATGGGAGGATTTCGAAGTTGGGTTTTGTTAGTAAAACCCCAAATATCGATAAATCATCCCAAATATAATTTAATATATTTATTTTCCTTTCCTGTGCACTTTGACCTTTTTTCATATTCCTTTCTCACAAACACTTAGCTATAACCGGAAGGAAAAGAGATAACAATCGCCGTTAGGGGCGAACAAACACTTAAGCTTATATGCCTGTCCCGTATAAATATTAATCTTTTTCTTTCACACATTGACTTTTAATGACACTATTAATGAACATTTAACAAACTTCAATCTTTTTTGTATTACTCATACTTAAAACTTTATACTTTGTATAACTAATTATTCGAATAAATTATTATTTATTTCGACTTCTTATTTTATTATAAGACAACAATTTGCCTTAGTGCAACCACTTTATTTAACCTTCGGTTAACATTTTACCTCCGGGTAACTACTTTAATTTACCACGATTTATCACATTTTTGTGAGTTTCGATAATATTTAATAAAATTTAAAGAAAATCCTCCCTATTGATAAATGGAACTAATAAAAATAAAAACCTTCTGCCAATTTATTCGCATTCTCCAAAGCAGCCTCAGTATTCTTAAAAGGTTCAAAAGCATGGACCTGAACTATTCCTTGGAAACGTTGGGGATCGTTCATCGACTGTTGTACCTAATTATAAGCATTTTATTATAATGTATCATTCCAAAAACTTTATTTTATTTACTATTCTATTCTAAGGCAACAGTATTATCCTTAAAATTATTGACCACCACCAAATGCGAAATTTTAAATTTAAAATAAAAACCTCAGGAAGTATTTGCCCAATATCTTCAAATTCCTTTATTTTAAGCAATGTGTATCCAACAGCATGTTCGTATAAAACATAATTTGGCGCTTCCGCAGTTGACATCTTAAGCTAATTAAAACTAAATGATAATAATTAATTCAATCGAAAATATAAAATTGCGAAAACATAACAATTAAAAACAAATAATTTGAAAAATTTTATTCAAGATTAATATTTAAACTTTAGCATTAAAGTTGCGATATAGGTAATCAGGGAGTAAACAGGAAACTTAATTCAGAATTGAAAGATTATTGAATTGAGAGAATAGTCAATAAAGGTAAAATATGACAGAACGTCCCCATGACAACTTGCCAATCAGAAAATTGGAAAGTTAATGAAAACCTGCACTGCAGAAATACTAAAAATTACAATATTATATAAATGATTGTTTTTATGCCCTGTAAAGTATATTATGTAAAAACTTATATTATGTTAAGACTTAATCTTGTCCAGATTAAGTGTCCAATGAAATGGTTACAAACTTTACAAGTAAAAAAAGGCCAAAATCGCCAACTAATAAGTAATAATTTTAGATATTTATATTAAAACCCTTGATTTATAAATAATGCCTTATAAAAATTTTACTCATAGCAAATTAAAATTTATAGAATATCACATTATGTAACGCCTGGGTAATTATAAAAATACGTATTCTGAGAATTTAGAAACAACAGGGAAATTTCTTAATTTTCTAATTTTAATTAAAATACTTCTCATTAATTACCCAGACTTTTATGAATTTATAATTTAAATTAGTTATATTCCAATTAACTCCATCCCAACCAACCCGCAAAGCTAGAACCTTCGCCCTTTTGATCTTGATTTCCTTGTGGAGCTTGAGCTGTTATATTCATTCTAACCATTTCCATCTCTCGTTCATCCAAGTGTAAAATTGTTTGCAAAACAGGCAGTAATTGTGCACGTTCATCAAAAACTCGAGGTGGCGTCAGAAATTTGAGTACTAAAAGAAATATTGAATAAATTTTTTCTTATCAGAATCAAGAGCGTAGCCAAAGGGCTAGGGGAAACTTTACTAAGGGTGGACTTAATCTTTTTAATATTTCCCAATTAAATTTTAAAAAACTAACCAATATTTTTAAAATATTCTGAACAAACTTCATTTTCTAATTGTTTTGCTCTATGTTGATTTCTCTCTAAACGACGAATTTCTTCCTTGAGAAGATTATTTTGTTCATTTAATCGGACATTAATCTCTAAAATATTTACTTTTAAATGTTGAAAAATAAAATTTTAAAAACCTTCCGATTCACTCAAAAGTTCCCTACAAGAATTAAGCTGTTGAATAATTAAATTATATTCTTCATGGCTATAATATACTCGTTGTAAACCGCCATTTAATGACAAGGCATCCGAAGGTAGTTCAGATACATTAAATGAAGGAATTTCACTTAAAAATAAACAAAATTAAAAAATTTTGGACCTAAAAGAACTCCAGCGATTAAAAAACCTGTTTGGCTCAATTTCTGCTGCTCTCAACATTGACTGTAAATCATCAAGAGAATCAGTTAAACTTTCACTATTCATTGTGGCATTATCTTCATCACCTATAACAGCATTTCTATCAATAAACTCATCATCAAAACTTGATTGTTGATTTTGTAAAAAGTCTGATGGAATTTTTGTTGTTAAGTTTAAAGGTTTTGGAAATTGTTTTTGCTGTTGATTAATATTCTTCTTTTGGATCGAAATTGAAGTTTTTCGTTGTTGTTTTTGAATAAAATGTTGAGGCAAAGGAGGCGAATTGGCGGATGTTGTAAGTTTTTTCTCGTCAAATAATGAAATCTTTAAAAAATATTAATTAACTGAATAAAAATTAAAAAAAACTGACGAGCTGTTTTCAGTTAATAATTAGGTAACTAAGAAGCAAAATTTTATTAACAACCCGAATTAGTCCCTATATCAATTAAGAAAAAGGAGATTCTGGAAGGAAAAACTAGCATAAAAACGTCCTTAAACTAAATAATTCAAACAATATTGTCCCGAAATCTAATCTGCAAACAAAATACATATTAAAAAACCTTTCTTTTCGCCTCTTCTAATTCACTTTCCAAGCGTTCACATTCAATCTTCAATTCCTTTAGATTTTTAATTGCAACCATTTCCCTTCCATTAATTAATTTTAAATCATTTTCTAAAGTGATTCGAAGCATTTCTTCTTTCTTTAATTTTTGTTCAAATTCTCCAATAGTCCTCTGGCGTTCTGATTGTGATTGACGACGAATTTGTGAAATTGAATCATGCAGAGCATTTAATTCTTCTAATAAAGTTTTGGAATATTCTTGACTATTTTTGACCTCTTCTTCCAAAAATGAACATTTGGTCCTGCAAAAAGAATTCAAAATATTTGTATTGAAAAACCACACAAACAATTAATTCAACATCCTAGGATAAACAACCAGTGAGGAAGTAATTTTTCCCGTAGCAAGGGGAAATTTTTGGAGGCAAAAGGATTGTCAAAAATTTTGATTTTTGCGCCCCAAGCGATAATTTTGAGAATTTTGGAAGGACAAAATTCCATTATCTTGTCCCCTGCCTCCCGAAATTTTTCCTAACCATTTCGGGGGAGGGATTTAACCAGGCTACGGGACTGATGAACGTTATGAATAACAGTGTACATTTTTATAAAACACTGTATGAGGACAAAAAACCTAATTTCATAATTTCAGTAAATATAAAAATTGTTAAAACCTTAATTGTGAAATCAAGACATTTCGTTGTTTAAGCAATTCAAGTAATTGATCAATTTCCCCGTCAGAAGACACATTGTCTACACCAGAGTTATCTACTGCTTGAGATAGAGTTGAATTAACATTGGTAGGAACATCAGAAACCTTCGAAGATTTGAATACAAATTCAGCACGTTCCTAAAAATAAATTTTAGATAATGAAAAATATAGAGAATTGGCTATATGGAACAACAAAAATATGCAAAATTAAAACAGTCATCCTATTTAAAAGTTTTATAATTACCGTATTTTCTCGATTAATTCCCCTGGGGAATTATTGTTTCAACCTATCTCTAGCAGGGGGGATTAATCGAGGGAGGGGAATTATTCGAGGGTGGGGAATTATTAATTCAACCCATCCCTGAATTTAAAAAACTTCATGAAGCTTTGACGTTAAGTCTTCTTTGTTACTTTATATACTATTTTATATACATAGTATATATACATATAGGTATATAAAGCATGGATATATCCCCAAGCACAGAACCATATAAACGTACGAGGGTACTTGGGTCTTTATGTACCCAAATATTGGAGTATTAAGACTATAGTGCCAGATTAGGGGGCATTGTATGATACGATACTAAGAGGTTATGTATTATATCTCCCAGCACTGAACCATATAAACTTGCATGGGGGTATTATTGATAGGAGAATTATTAAAGGTAGGGTAAGTATCTGAGGGAGGGGAATTATTCGAGGGTGGGGAATTATTGTTTTAACCTGTCTTTAGAGGGGGGAATTAATCGAGAGGGGGAATTATTCGAGGGAGGGGAATTAATCAAGAAAATACGGTAGTTAACATAAAACACCATATGAGTCAAAAAGGCAACTTCGTATGTATCAGGGAACAAGCCGACATAAAAATAAAATTCACGATTTTCGGGAAATCGCGATCCAGACCCAAAAAATCGACGAGAATTTCCAATATTCGGGAATCGGGACGGCTCGTTCCTTAGCATGTATCAATCCAAAAAAGATGATGTTTTTATATTTGCTTTCAGATTCCCGATTTCCCGAAAATCGGAAATTCTCGACGATGGAATTTCGACTTAATTCATTTTAGTATCCCAACAATTTTAATCCTTAAATAAAAAAATAAATGAACCTTATAATTTTTAAATTCTTCCTCTAAACATTTAATTCTCGCTACCAAAGTATCATTCTCACATTTCAATCTTTTTACTTCAGCAAATCTAGCAGAACTTGCTCGCTGTTCATTTTTTAATTCAGCAGAATTTGTTAATAAAGATTCATTTAAAAAATTAATTTCTTGTTGCATTTGTTGTCTAGAATCATTTAATTGGACTAATAATGAAGAAATTTCCTTTGAATTTTCAGCAATTAAATTGGATTTTTCGTCAATTGATTGTTTTAATTCTGTTGATTCAATGCCTTTTTGACGAAGTTGTTCATTTGTTTCAGCCTTTTCTTCTTGTAAAGTAGCAATGTGCTGTGAAAGTTCCTGAAAATGATATTCAGAATTTTGAGTAAAAAACAGAAGGCGAATTTTAATCAGGGTACAATCGGGACGGCTCCCAAAACGGCGCGCGGCCATAACAGCGCAAAGCCATAACTTGCTGGAAAATGTCTGGTCCTTGTCAATTTTGGTACCAATCTTTCTAGCTCGATGAGAGGAATCGTTTGGTACTAAATCTGATAGGATTAAGAAGTTTGAAGCAAGTTATGGCTTTGTGTCGTTATGATCGCGTGCAGTTTTGGGCGTGTCCATTTTAATCCTACTCAACAAAAATTACAAAAATAACGACAAAAACAAACCTCAATCAGAGCTTCCTTTTCAGCCAATTTTTCTTTGCAGTCCTGTAAGTCTTTCTTCATTTTAACACTAGAATTCTTATAATCTTCCAATTCAACCATAAGCATTGAAGTTCCATCTTGTTTGCCTTCAAAAATGGCAATTTTTGAGGCCAATTCTTTTACTTGATTTGCATTAGCTTCACTCTAAAAATTTATTTATGATCGAAATAATTTCCCCAAAAAATAATATTTTGAAAACCTCGTTTTTACTGGCCTCCAATTGTCGTTTAAGCTCCTTCTGATTTAATAACTGCTTCTTAACCAATTTAATCAAATCATCCTTAGAGAGCGCTTCAAGCTAAAATTAATAAAATAACAAAAAGACGAGAAATAAAAAAAACCTTTGACAAATTTTGCTGAGGCTGCTTTGGTTGTTGAGGCTGTATTGATTCATTTTCAACTTTAGAATCAATATTAAGAGTAGTTGAAGCTGCTGTATTCACTTCTAAATCCTCATTCTCTCCAGATATCATTTAATATTTAAAATTTATAAAAGTTTGTATGACAGCTAAAATTCAAGAAATTAAAAATATTTGTTGCCAACCAGAGAATTAAAAACAAAATTTACCTTAAATCGTTTGCTTGACTTTTTATTATTTTAACATTTTTAACGTTTCCCGCCGAAATATCAAAAATGAGCAGTCCAAATGTCCTAGAATCGACAAAATGTATTTAGGGAAATTTGTATATATGGACAAACGACAATTGGACAGTAAGACAATTGGGCTACAAAGGTCCGTAAATGTTTTTCTGGCAACTCCATAATTCGTCCCACTCAGACTCGTCAAACCTAAATTCGTCCCTCACACATTTCGTCCCACCACGATTCATCCCAATAAACAAAAACAGTACAAAATCCATTAATTCGGCCTACTTCTCCATGTCATTACTTGCCGAAGACGTTTCTGTTGACTAAAAAACCAAGCCCCTCTTTAGGGCCACAAATTTAATAAGTCCTCTTAAATATTCTTTTAAAATAATTTTAGTGCATATGTTTATAAATTATCAAAATATCATAAAATTAAACATAAATATCTATGTAAATATTTTCTATTTATTTTACATGTATTGAGGATTATTTCTACTATTGACCGTAATAATTCTAGACTTTTCATTAAAAATTTCATAGCTTTCAGGCATTTGAGAATAACCATTTTGGATGTTTTTGTGTTGATAAACAAATTTAGTTGTAGTTGTTAATAAAAGCTAAGAAATTTATTTAAAAACATTATTTTCTTAAAAACTAACTGTGATAGCTAAAAAGGCAGTAATAAAAATTAAAATCCAAAATGCTGATACATTTAATAATTCTGAAGTTGATTCTTTTTTATTTAGTTGCGGTGAATTTTGATAATTATCTGTTAATTTAAGCAAAATTATTTTTAGATAATTTTAAATTATTTTTTTTAGTGATATTTAATATGATATTTAATATTGTCCTAAGAATAAGATATTAGGTTATCCAAAGTAATAACAGACTAATAATACCCTAAACTAAATATTTAAACAAAATTTTATTTAAAAATAATTTAACCATTTTTAATTATTTCTGTGTTATTTTCATTTTCTTCTTCGTTTGAAAAATCATTTGAGGGTAAAACAGCAAAAGAAGAACCAATTATTGGCAAAAAAGGCTTAATAGCTTCTTCAAATTTATTTTTATCTTGTTTATTTCCAAATAAATCTAACCAATTATCTTTTTCTTTATCCTCTTTATTTGAAAAAAATACTTAAATATTTGTAAATAATTATTTACCTTTATTACTATAATTCCCTTCAATATTTTGACGGGCTTTTCTCTCCACAATTGGCATATCATGTAACCAAAAATCTAAGCCTTTCACATCCTTACAAGGAAACATTCTAACTGTAGCCAAACTCCAAAATTCGAAAACTTTGAACCCCTATAACTTTCCGAAATGGGAGTTAGGGCCTAAAAAGCCAAAAATGGGCAATATGTTATCGACCCTGTTCTACACGATGTTGTGCACAAAAAATGCAAAATTTTGGCTACAATCAAAATGTTTCCTTGTTAGAATAAATATTAATGGAAGTTTTATTTAATCAAAGAATCGCAACTTTTGCCCAACCCTACAGTAACTATACTTTATTCACAAATTATTGCCTGATATCCATCAACATTATGAGGTGCTTCCAAAATTGTATTATTGTCGCTAACATTAAAAGTTATTCGAAAATAATTTCTTCCATTCCAAGTTTGAGGTCTCCAACTTTTATCAGGAGAATGTCCTCTTATAAAATTTTTAACCATTTTTGGATAATAATTATTCATTAATTTTAAATCAGTTCTATTTAATTCAATTGGATGAAGTCCAATAAAGAAATACCTTTTTTAATATTTAAATTAAAATATTTATATAATTTACATATCACTAGCATGGTTCGAGTAATTAGCAATTTCAAATTCACCAACATAACTAACTCCACCGAATCTTGTATTTACTAAAGATGCTAAAAATGCTTCAGAATGTATAGATTCATAAGAAACACGCATATGTGCTAAAAATTTATTTAAAATTATTTTTCTGATAAATATTTATGTGACTAAATAATTATTATTATTTTTATATTTTGATATAATTAAGATAAAAATTCAAATCAAATTTAAGGATAAATTAAATTTAAAGAATATTATTTTTAATTAATTGATAAAATATTTAAAAAATTTTCTAATTTAATTTTGACTCTAAAATTTAAAAAGAACTTTAATTTTAATTTAATTTTTTAAAAATTAAATTTTTACTTGATATATTAAATTCATCTTTATATCTATCAAAACAAGCATTATATGATTGGAGAGAATAATAACCAAAAGTTCCTGTTGCTTTAAAACATTCCTTGTCTAATCTATCATCTGACCAACGATCAAATTCAATTATTGTTGTTGTAATCATTAATGGAATTGGCTAAATAAATTATATTTTTTTATTTCCTAAATTAATCCAAAAACCTTCCAATTTCTTAATAAATGTACAAAATTATCAAATGGAAGTATTTCTGTATCTGACTCGGGTCCACTAAAAACAAGACCAAAATTTTCGTTGTATTGTTGTTGTCGTAATAAATCTAATGAATCAACTTTACGTAAACATTCAACTTTTTGTTTATCAGAAAATGTTTTGTTTGTTGAATTATCTCGAAGGCACTAGAAAAAAATAATTTTTAAAATGAGAATTTATTTAAAAAATGTTTAAAGTGTTTTATTAACTCAAAAATTCGATATTTAGTTTTCATTTTTTGGAAAAATTGTTCCTATAAAATAAATTACAGGATTAATTTGAAATTTCATTGTAATCTTTGGAATCCTCTCTCGTGAGTAAAAATGTATTTGGCAAAAAACAGCCTAACTATTTTATATGTGCGAATTACCTCCTTTCAATTAATTACCCCCTCTAGCGAGAGGTTGAAACAATTACCCAGGGTAATTATTTGAATAAATACGGTAATTAATATTTTATAAAGAAAACTTTTACATTAAAATGTTCTAGAAGAGCAAAACTTTGTTTTAAATTTGCATCTTTTGTAAAAAAAGGAACTCCAGAACTAATGAATGCCTGTTGAAATAATCCTTCCCTTACAGCTGGAGAACCACATAAATAAATTAGAGCAGAAGCACCGGCACTATTTCCCATTGCTTTTTTATGAATTAAAATTATTTTTAAAAATAAATTAAAATACCAGTAATTCTTTTATTATTTCCACCAAAATTGTGAATTTCTTTTTGAACCCATTCTAACGCAAAAATTATATCTACATAAATTAATATTTAAATATTCCTCATTTATTTTTAATTAATTAACCATGCATTGCCAAATTCCTTTTAACAGTTTTATCATTCCCTAAATCTAAAAGACCAAAAACCCCTAAACGATAAGCAGGAATTACACAAATAATTCCATCAGATGAATATTTTTGTATAATTTGTGTGTCATTAAACATTGTAGCAGAATCATAAGCAAAGCCTCCACCATGAATATAAAATAGAATTGGGCAGTTTTTGGTTTTCTAAAATTATTTTATTTAATTTTTGACAAAGTTAGAAGTTGATACACCCTTTGGACTATTGAAAAATTGTATCTAAAATCGAGAGTGTCCATTTTTGGTGGTAGGCAATTATCCCTCCCCAACCCGGTCCTAGGCAACTCTCCTCCCATAAAAGGCATTCATGGTGTATTTATTTTGGTGTATGTAAAATCCGATTAAATTTTTGGCTTTCCAATTTATTTCACATCAGACAATAATTAGTAATTATCACAAAAAGAAGTATAAAAACTTGCCAAACATTTAGGGCTAGTAAATATATTAATATAAATACAATCTTCAGAAATATATTTTTGTGGAGAACGAGTGCTTGTTGTATTCTTGAAAATATTTAAATAAAAAAATTAAAAATTAATTTATCCTTAACAAACTTACACTAAGACAAGCAGCACTATATTTAGTTGCATTTAATATTCCATTCCAAGGTTTTTTTTCCTTTAAAGGTAAAAACCGAAGCTTTCCAATTGGAGGCTCAGAAAATGGAATTCCCTTTAATTAAATAAATAATTAATTATTTATTTAAATAAATTAATTACTTCAAAAACAATTGCTGGTTTATTCTTTCCAGCTACAAAAGAAACTCTCCCTTCAATTTTACCTCCAGTCAATTCAATTGTTGGATTTTGACAATAAACACATTTTGTCTGTTAAATTAAAAGAAAAATATTTTTTTAAATTTTCCCTTTGTATTACTTTGGTATCCTCAAATTCCTTTGTTTTATTTTTGAAATTATGCCCATGACGATTAAATATCCGATCAAAAATATTTTGTTTGCTAAAAACATTTAGTTTAAATTTTTTATAAAATTAAATAATTTATTTTACTTAGTATTTTCTGAATTATTATTTAATCCAATAATTTTATTTAAAATAAGAAATAGAAAAAATAATATAAATAAATATTTCATTTAAATTTTAATAAAATTTAATTAAACAAATCTTTAAATTGCAAAATAAAAATAAATATATTTACTATTAAATATACACTAATAAATACACTTTTATTAACTTTATGATGATAAAAATATTTCTGATAAATAAATTATAAGAAATATATCAATATATTTATTTATTTACCTTATCTGTAATTTATCGAAAAAAAGAATTAAAAACATATCATAATTACATTTATTTCACAAAAATTAAAAGTTAACATTTGAATAATTTAATGTTTCAATGTCTCTACTAAATGTAATAATATTTTTTGGTCAAGTTTGTGGCTGTTTTCTCGCTAAAATCTTGTTGCTCGGAAACTTTCTTTTCATATCCTTTTTGCATCTAAAAGTCAGTCAGTTTTATTCATAAGTTGTACGGATAAAAAAAAGTAATAGAAATTAGAAGTCTGTAATAAATATTCTGACTTTTTAAAATCTTGGATTAGTTAGTACGGTAATCTGTCGGAGATTTATAGCTAGTTGATCAACGCTATGATAATTAAATGTATTTACACAGGAGTCTTTGCTCACGAATTACCTTGTTAAAGTTTAAAATTAAATTTAAATTAATGTGAAGAAATCCTCATATTTGGCCATAAAATTTTACTTTGCTTAAAAAGTACGTTTTCTAAAGCTAAATATTTAGTTTTTTTCGAATTTCTGATTTAACAAAAAATATTTAAATTTTAAATTAATATTTTTTAAATATTTTTTTCCTTCCTTTTGATTATTTTTTGTTCCATTTTTTAAGACTATTTTTTGTGTAAAATTAAAAAAAATCAGGGCAAAAAATTGCCGACGGGTCCGTTCCTTTTTTTATTTAAAAACCAATTTTAACAAACAATTAAATTAGTTAACTAATTACGTAGTTCATCAAAGAATTCATCAAAGATTCATCAAAGACCAAGGCTAAAATAAAAAAAAATTGGAAAAAATAGCTAAAAACAAGAATATAAGAAATGAAAAAAAACAAATAAATATTTATATCCGGCTTTTAAATAATAATTTTTTATTCCTAATTTTTGAATATTTCTTAAACTAAAAAATTTTTTTATAAAATTAATTTATTTTTACAATTTTTTTAATTTAGTAAACTATTAAATGGGTAAAATTATTTTCTTTATTGTTGCTAATAAATACATACAAGTAGGGTTGCCGTTTTTGGTTCGAGCCGACGTTCGGTGCATATTTTTCGAGCTTGTTTTTTTCGATTCGGTTTGTACGAGCTTTTCGAGCTGAAAAGCCTCGGCTCGCTCGATCTTTCGAGTTTCGGGTCGAGCGAGCTGGCAACCCTACATACAAGTATTTGGTGCTGAAAACGATCTAGGATTATTTCTTAATATTTCTAGTGACCCCCAATCCCGACCCCCAATCATTGACTCATAATGGTAAACATCAATTTTTTTCTAAAAAAATTTAAAGTTCTCCCTTTTTTCCAGTCGTCCTTCACATTTTCTTGTTACTACATAATATAACAGACATTTATTTAGCAAAAATAAGTTGATTGTTTATATTGGCCGCCGAGAAAAAATTTTATAAAGCAACAACAACAAAAAAAGTTTTTGCACTTTTTGAAGGTAAAAGGCTGAAGAAAAGGTCATTTTTGATTTTATCTTGTTTTTTTTCCGTCGAAGAATTGGAAATATTATTTTGCACTATATTTTTTAAATAAAAAATAATTTTAAACTAAAAAAGTGCATTAAATTCTTCCTGATTTTTTTGCTATTTTTTACACTTTTTTGTTATTATTGCTACCTGAATATTTTTAAAATGTTAAGAAAAATAGTTTTTAGTTTTGTAATGAGGAAATAAACAAAAATAGTAAAAATAAAAAAAAATATTTTTTATTCAAATTAAAGTACATTTAGATTTTTAATTATTTTTTAAAATAAATTTATATTAAAATAAAGAATTTGGAAAAATTCGTTCATTTTTTTGATACTGTCAAAAATATAGACACTAAATTGAGAACACATATAGGGTGGTTGGCTCCTAGAAATTTTTCGGATAGCCGAAACCGGCACCTCTTAAATCCGGCACCTCTTAAAGCTACTTATAGACCTACGAATTTAAAAAAATCAAATAAAATATATAAATTATTCATGTTATTTAACAGTTTTAATCATCTAGGTACATACCTATACATATATCAAAAATTAAATTAATTTTTTTGCAAATTTTACCTGAATAAAATTCAAATATCAAATATTTCTTTTTTTATTTTAAATTTCCTTTTAGAATATGTACATATACATGTAAATGTCCCCATTTCTATTTTTTTCATTTCATAGAATCTATTTCCTAATTCTTTGAATATTTCACTTTTTATTAGTTCATTATTCAAAAATCTTTTGTTCCTGATTTGGATATAAATTTAAATTATATTTTTTATTTAATACAATTCAATAAATATTTTTTTGACCTTCCAAATTTGTCTTGACTATAATTCCTGTCTGAAATTTAAATATCAATTTAGTACCTTTGTTTAATTAAATATAGAATTTCTAAAAAATTTTTCTTTAGTTTCCGAGAACTCGAAACTTTGAAAACTTTAAGAAATTTTGAAAAGTTAGAAAATTCTGTGTTTTATCATCTTCACTAATTTCAGCTTCAATAAATATCCTCTCCACCCCCTTCCCCTCAAAAAACTTAACTAATTATTAAATATATTTTTATTTAAAATTATTTTAATAATTAATGACTTTTTCTAACATAAAAATAATTTAATCTTCTTTTTTTTCATTATAAATTTAAACAATTTACGTATTTCCTTTTTGTCTACTCACATGCTTCTCTTTTATTTTTGGGGAGGAAATATTATTAATTATTAAATAAATAAATTGCACTTTCCGCGCATTTGTATGTACTTTTAAAAAAATAAATAATTATTTCTTTCATCAATTATAAATATATGTGCTTCGATCTTTTCTTTTTAATTTATTTGTACTTTTATTAAGCTTTCTTTCTCTCTCCCTTTAAATTTTTGAGGAAATATTAAAAGTAAATGTGTACTTGTATATTTAATTTGTACTTTTCTCTATTTCCGACAAAAAATATTTTAATATATTAAGCGGAACCAGACAAAATAATTATTTTTTTATTAAATAAAACACAAATAAAAGTGCTTTTAGGTGTGTAATTATTTTTAAAATTAATTTTTGGACTAATATAATGGTGATTTTTGTAATAATTTTCAAAAAATTAAAAAAGAAATATATTTAATTAATTTAAAATATTTTTTTAAAAATTAAAAATGTCTAAATTTCTTTTAATAAATAGCGGAAATACTAAAAAAATATTTTAAATAAATTTTTCAGCTTTTTAGAGGTACTTTGAATCACGATTTTTGTCTTAACTCGTGATTCTTTTGTACTTTCCCAATTTTTTAAGTTTTTATTTTTTGGCAAAAAAAATTTTTTGGTAGAAAGCCAAAAATAGAAAATATACATTTATAATTCTTTTTTTTGGAATATTTCCAAAAATAGTTTTTAAAAAGCCGCCAGTTATTTTTGCGTAAGCGTTTGGACGTTTGTTTTAAATAGAGGGGAAAGACGAATGCAAAAATTATGTACGTTTCCAAAAAATATTTCTTTGTGAGAAAGGAACAGATGTAATAATAAAAAGTGATTAACTGATTGTAACTATATTTTTGTAAAAAAAATTAATTTAATTAATTTAAAAATAAAAATATTATTAAAAATATGCCAAATAAAATATCAACTTTTATTAAACTAAATATAGAATTAAAAATTAATTTGGAAACTTATAATTTAAATAAAGAATTGCAACTACCTAAAGAATTTCAATTTAGTTTACTAATTAATTTAATAATACACTCTGTTCCAAACTTATAAGGTTACCCTATTTTTTTATCATATCTTATTGAAAAATCGTCGAAATTTTTTAAAATTTCTACACAAAAAATTTCGACGTTTTTTCAATAAGATATGATAAAAAATAGGGTGACCTTATAAGTTTGGAACAGAGTGTAACCTTTCTTCAAAATTTCTTTTCTCACTTTTCTTAGTCCTCCAGATTTGGGTGGCCCTCGAGAGGATTTCTATATTTAAAGAGAATTACCCCCTCTAGGGACCAAAAATCCTTTAAACAAAAAAATATATTTAGAAAATTGAAAAAAACTTTTTTTGGTTCATGTACTTTTTTCTAATAAAAAAAAAGAAAATGCCAAAGTTCAAAGCCAAACAAAGTACATACTTTGCGTGCATTTACGTTACTTGTACTTTTTAATTTTGGCATTTATTTAGCATCATTGCCAGAACAAAGAATTTTATTTTATTAAATTTAAAAAAAACTATTTTTATAAAAACCTACTTACATCATTCTCTTTTTTCTGTATTATACTTTAAATACACGAAACAAGTGCAAGCTCTTTATAAATAATTATTTTAAATTAATTACTGTATTAAACGTCATAACTATAGGGCTAATCAAAATTTTGAATTTTTCTATTAATAATAAATTGCTACATAGGCAAATCAAATAGTATATTAAAATATTATGAGAGGAGTACTTATACTTAAAATAAAATTGGTAGGGATCATGGATAGTTCATTTTATTATCGAAGATCCAGTCCACGAAGATCCAGAAACCTGTAGAGTAACTGTTCGTAAATAACGCATATAGGTATTCGTCCAGAAAAGCCTGTCTCCAACAAATTAACATTCATAAATTTATTCCAAATTATGAATCTAATTATTTAAATAATGATATATTTACATATTTAATTAATTTAAGCACTTCAATGAATATAGTATTTAATTTTAAAATTAAATTTTATAATATCTAAAATGATAGAGACTTTAAAAATATTTAAATAAAATTTAATAATTAATTTATTTGTGTTTGTTCATTTTCTAGAATTTTAATATTTTTATATACCTACATATTTAATTTAAAATTCGAAAAACTTGGAAATCTTCCTTTTGTTTCAATTTAATTTTTCCAAAAATAC